AAAATACACAACAGTTTCCTCTCGGGAGACATTTAAATGAAAAGTATTTTCTCCTGATGTGAAGATTTCTTATTCCCAACCTACAAGGCAAATCATATTATACAGATGTCAAAACACCATTTAGAATCAGAAGCTCCGATTTATCCCACATTACGTTTCTCCAGTAACTATAACTTTCAATCCTAGATCATCAATTCTTTCTAGTTATTGGCAACATAAGCTACATAAATGGACCAAAAATAGAACTGAATCAACCTAGACAGACCTGCCTGCAAGAGGAAATACTGCTATACATAGCAAAGGTAACGTTTTTCTTATGAAGAAATGATAATGCAGTATAACGCAGAACTAGTATTTCTGCTGAAAGGACTACACAAACCAATTTTTGCCAAGTATTTTTCAAACACTATTTGCTGGTTCTGCTAAATATGGAAAATTAACTGGAGTATTTTTTAAGGGATAATATGGGGGTCTGTCTCCCACACTCTCCCAGGCCATGGTGTCTTAGAGTAGTCAGTCATTCCTTCTGACCATGTGTTCCTCATTTCTAAAATGGAAATTATGGTGATAGTTTTACTACTTCATGCAGGGATTGTTGAGTCAGATAAGTGAGAAATATATGAGGGCAAATATAAACCATTAAATTAAATCAATTATTGTGTTTATAGAAGAAATTATCTTTTTGCTAATTATGAATTCTACATGTTAGGAAAACACAACAAGCAAATCAAATCTGTTATATCTTGGATATTACTATTCAGGACAAAACTAATCTTTGAAAGGAGAATAGATTTAAAGTCTGTGTAAAGAAAAATATTAGTAACTAATAGAATAAATGGCGTATAGATATGGCAGAAATGGTAAAGGTGGTATGCAAATAATTGTAGTTTGGGAAATGGAGGGCAAGATTCCGGTTGGACTTTGTCAGAGAGATTTAGCCACTAGACAGCCTTGAAACCTTGGTCAGATGACTCAACCTACATATCAGTTTCTACACTTTGCCGTGAAGATTCAGGTAATTAAGATAAGTGAAGCACTTAAAATAGTGCCCACCACCTAGCAATTGTTCACAAAGTGTTATTACTGATATATTTTCAATTGTATAATAATTTATCCTAGCAGATTATTTTTTAAATACTAGTTCAACAAGACCATAACTGGACAACTGGAGCCTCTAATACCCAGCTGATCATGTGCCTTACATCATTCCCTGCAATTATTATTTATATCATCTACAAAGCTAACATATTATGATTCTAATATAATAATAGTGAGCTCAAATTGCAGGCTAAGATTTAGATTAGCTAAATTTAAAGGATTTTTGTTTATTTGTGTAGATCTGTCCCTCCTATGACCTCTATCCCCTCCTTGCACCATTCTGATTTTACACTGTGTTTATAAAGCAAAAACCATATTTCCATCATTTTACAAATTACTTTTTTCAAATTTCAACATTTAGATGAACAGCTAAAAGCTCTTTGAGATGAACAGAATTATCCAAGTTTCCTTACTTTCACTGCCATTTTCCTGGCTATCAACCAAGCTTCTATGCACCTGCTTTGAACAAACCCATTGCATTCATTCCTAAGGTGTAGCTTCCTATGTATGGGAACTTGCAAATCTCTTCAGTAAAATGAAATTCCTAGGACAATTTATGGATCTTGTTGACATAATAGTGACTTAAAAGCCAATCATTTTTACTTCAGGTTATCTATTTGTGATCTACACTGAAGTAAATCACTTGATTATTCTGGGCCTGTTTCTTACCCATAAAATAAAGTTAGACTAGATCAAAGATTTTAACCCAGGTTATATAGATAGAGCCTGTACACTTGGAGAGTGATTTTTTTACTAACCTTTAACTAAAATTTAGGATTTCCTTCGTTTGCAGGCAAAAATGCACAGAGTAACACTTGGGATATTTGTGTTTGTCACCAGTAGAAATCATCAATATTTTCATAAGATATTTAAATTCATGGGGATACCTTGAAGTATTATTTGATATTATTTCAAAATTACTCAGCTGATAGACCTGCAGCTAGACCTTGTTATTTAACTCATTGGTAAAGAAGCACATATATTACTGTATCACATGTTAAGGATTACTTAAAGATGTTGATAATTGTATTTTAATAAAAATGAAGTCCCTTGTAATCCCATGTATTTCATTTCATTTATTTATGACTTTTACTTTAAGGAGGTCATACGTTTCATCAGACTAAAAGAGGGGACTCTGATTCAAAAATGTTTGGAACCTTGGATTTTAGGGATGCTTCTCAAGGTCTTTTACACAGATCACTCTTGGGTCATGAAGATTATCTAAGATGATCTGTAATGAATTGAAAAATGCAAATCAGTTCTTCTTTTCTGTCAGAATGATATATCAGAATGATATGGCTTTCTTTTTTTATGAAAGCCTAAGCGTTACTTTCAAGTAACCCTTCCAAGTAACCCTTTTTTATGAAAGCCTAAGGGTTACTTCCAAGTAATCCAAGTTAGTTGTAAAGTCTTCTACAACTAAAGATTTATTAACTAAAAGTAATGTGATTTGAATTTGAATTTGCTAATTCAGTATTTTCCTAAGCATTCTGGCTGCCATGCGATTGATTGGCAATGTTGTATACCTGCCCCTGAAAACACCTGGAATTTTACACTTTCAAGGAATATTTTTTTTTCCAGTGCTTCAAAAGTCTTGTCTTGAATTGGTCATAGTTTTAAATTGCTACTTTTCTAATTGCATGTATGGAATTACTCTTGGCTGTAGTCTACGTAACATTTAGGGATTTTTTTTGGTAATTGCTGCATTTTAACCATTTGCCATTTTGCTCCTCTTCCACTGTTTTGTTATTGGTGAGTTCTTTATCCACTAGAAGTAAGAGCATAAGATTATTGGTAAAGCTCAGTGTCCTTTGTCCATTGTAAAAGATTCTCAAAAATTTTGAGAAACAGAGAATTAGTTAATTACTTATATTCCTTTCTTTTTAATTCAATCTATTTTTTCCACTCTGTTCCATTCTATTCTAGTCTATTTTGTTCTGTTATAATCTAGTTATAAGTAACACGATATTAAATCAGAAGTATAAGCCAAGACTAGATGTCAGAAATGTCAGAAACAAATTGACCTGGGAAGCAGAAATGTCACAGAAGATCCAAAAGTCAATAATAGGATGCTTATAACCTTCACCCAATTCAAACAATTGAAAGGGCCAGGTTGTTGATGGTTAGAATAGGATTTGTGAGGAAGATTTCTTTAATGAGTTCTCTGCTATTGGGAAAGATGTAGAAATGCTCCCCTCTTCGCCTCAGATCAAAGGAAGATAGCTTCACCCTTGGAGAGCTTGAAGTTAGGGGGCTATTGGGAATGGAATCTAGTTCCTACGTGAGAGGTCTAAAAGGTTAGAAGGTGACAGATAAGCTGAAGGAGAGGAAGCTGTATAGGTTTCAGCCTTTTCTCAAGTAATTTATAGGAATAAAGGCCTAGTGAATATTCCATGTGAACCAAATGTAACCTACCTGTATTTGTAAGCATGATTGGACCTCAGGAGACAGAAGCTGGAGATGTACCAACAAATTTCCAGGGGCTGTGGACATTGTAAAGGAACCAGAGTTTCATATGTCCATACCAAGGTTGTGCTAAGTCTCCAGCCATGGTCTTGGCAAGAGGTCCCTGGAGAGCCCATGAATGTGCTCACAGAATAGAGTCAGCTCTAAACACCTGCCTGGTCTAGTGAGTGCAAAGCCATCCTACAGTAGTACTAGTCATAGAGGAACTTTGCTGTTCTTCTTAGCCTTCTTCTCTCCCTTGCTCCAGCTCAGGAGTCCAAGGTAGCCAGTTGAGGGAGGGCAAACAGGAAATGAAAGAAACATCAATCATGCCCTCCTCCCCCATCACCACCCTTTCTAAGCTCTGCAACAAACCCAAGGTTGGGAAGAAGCTTTATCTTTGTTTTAAGATTGATGTGTATTATATGTGACCAGACCTAAGACACTGGCATTTTAATGTTATCACACGATGTTTTTATTAACTAAGAATGACTGGAAAAGTCCTGATACTCTCTGAAAGATTGAACTTGGGACAGAAGATAAGTTTCTCCCACTGAATATATTTTAAAGAGAAAGTAAGGGACAAAATAATTTTGCTTTGTGATAATACTCCCTAAGTTCTATATGTTCACTAATTTTATAATTATATAATTGTTGGAGAAATGATCTCAAAATCAGTTGGTGCAAAGTTTAATTGTTAGTATATTTTCAATCAAATTTCAGATGGAGAGAACATTCTATCATATATGACTGTTTTCTGAAATATCAAGTCATATAGTCATATATAGGCATCATAATTGACTCAAAAATTAATTTCTGCTCATTTTTTAACTTTCTTATATAATAAGACTCTTCTATCTGTACATTTTGCTTTACGTTTCTATTTTTGATAGATTCTCTGCAACCTCTCGAAATGTTGGAACATTTTCCATGCTAATTTTTTTCAAGGTTTATATAGAAGCTGAGTGATTCTAAGATGATAAATTCCAATAGTTTGTTTCGGTAGATGATGACTTATCTTAAACATTACATTCTCTTGTACTCATTTGTTTTAAATTCATAGCAACTAAGCAACGTGTGATAAAAGACACTGAACATCAGAGGGTTTGTTTAAAAGAATTTGTTTCAATTAAAAGTATTTGGGGAAAACATGCATAATTTTTATGTTTGATTTAAAGCATATTTAAACATGTTTCATCTGTTTCATTTCTGTATTCCCAGATTAAATTGCAACTTTACAAATTTGTATAACCACCAGAAGATGATTTGTTATACTCTATAAATCCACAAGCTGAAAAGACAATGTTTGGTATCTTTGGAGAAATGTGCCACAGATCCATTGTAAAATCCAGTCTTCAACATTTTCCTAATTGCTTTAGTTTCCTGACCTTATTAGGTTTTTTTCCTCAGACCTATTTTGTTTTTGTTTATTTGTTATTTGTTTGCTTATTTTTTAGGTGAGCCTGATCTTCATAAGAATTCAGAAGATCTAGTAAGTGCCGAAGAAAAACATGCTGAGACACATTCATAGGTTTGAAACACCTTAAAGGCTTCTGTCATTTTAAACATGAGAGGTAATTTTATTTTTTAGATGAGAAATTTATTTCTGAAGTGGATGGTTTGTAAAATATCATTAGAAACAAAGTTATCTTACTTAAATGTCCTCCTGGATTCTTCTTTTAAATCTCTATTTTCTGGAGCAAAACATTAACAGGTAAGCTTTAAATATTTAACTTTTAAATTTACCTTTTCAAAGGATTCTTGACTTATTCATCCATAAAAATTATATTTACTGAGGCCTTTTAGTCCTTTAAAAATAATAAGCTATATCCTATGGGGAGGTTTAATCCTGGTTTCTTCCACTATTCCATAAAAGAAATATGAATGTTTTATACCAATTTCCTTTTCTACATCATGTAGGAAATATGAACGTTTACACTGAGTGATAATAACAAAGCAAGTACATATTATGAAACAACATCAATATTTGCTAAAATCCGTGGACATTTGCATCAATGATTCCCTTTTTAAAAATTCAGCTTCTACAACCTAAGTGTCCATCAACAGATGAATGGATAAAGAAGATGTGGCACATATATACAATGGAATATAACACAGCCATAAAAAGAAACGAAATTGAGTTATTTGTAGTGAGGTGGATGGACCTAGAGACTGTCATACAGAGTGAAGTAAGTCAGAAAGAGAAAAACAAATACCGTATGCTAACACATATCTATGGAATCTTAAAAAATAAAATTGTTCTGAAGAACCTAGGGACAGGACAGGAATAAAGACGCAGACGTAGAGAATGGACTTGAGGACACGGGGAGGGGGAAGGGTAAGCTGGGATGAAGTGAGAGAGAGGCATGGACATATATACACTACCAAATGTAAAATAGATAGCTAGTGAGAAGCAGCTGCATAGCACAGGGAGATCAGCTCGGTGCTTTGTGTCCACCTAGAGGGGTGGGATAGGGAGGGTGGGAGGGAGAACCAAGAGGGAGGAGATATGGGGATATATGTATATGTATAACTGATTCACTTTGTTATACAGCAGAAGCTAATACACCATTGTAAAGCAATTATACTCCAATAAAGATGTTTAAAAAAAAAATCAGCTTCTAGGGCTCACCTTTGATCTACCAAATTACCAACTCTGGGACTGATGCCTTAGGAATCTGAATTTTTAATAATTCACTCTACTGCTATTTCTGTACACTAAATTTGAGAACTACTGTCTTGGACCAACAGAGAAGGTGCAGGCAGTTAGAAGGGAGTTAGAAGGGAGGCATGTGTTTTTTATAGTAGAAATGTCTTAGTATCTCCTTAAAAAATATATAAAAATGAGTCCTGCTATCTTGTACCTTGATGGTAGGGACAAGAGAAAATGCTGCAGGTACCACGTCAAGCCTTTGATATACTATCAGTAGCTCCTTAAATGTTGTTTTAGATATGACACAGTTAAAATGTGATTAGCTTTCAAGATGATTCATTTCTCAGTATTCTTGAGTTAGTTGTAAGACTCTTTAATTAATAATAATAGTTTCATTAATAGCAACTATCAGTGTCAGGCACTGTGATGAACATCTCATATGTATTATCTCATTTAGTCCTATCAACAATTCCAGAGTTAGTGACTGTGATTACTATTTTACATAGGAATTGTAAATAGAAATCAAGCCACAAAGTTGATGGAAATTTTAAAAACCAGCTCTGTATTAAACAATTTAAAGATATTGTCTCATATTAGCTACAGCAATTTTTCTGCATACCCTCCATCCAAACTTTAAAGATACATAAATACACACATGCACGCATGCACGCACGCACGCACACACAGAAGAGACAGGAAGAATTCCAACTGATTTAAAGAATATCTATTATCTACTGATAAATCCCTTATTTTTACAAGCTATATGAAGTCCAACATGAAATTGCCATTCAGTGATTGATGCCTATATATGACTAAAACATGATCTTCATTTTCATTTGGATTTTATTTCAGGATAATGAGAACAGCACTAAAATATCCTAAATCCTCAATTTTCCACAAACCTATATTCTCCTCTTTCAACACACACTTGGAAACAGGCCATTTTATGGACTCATATAAGAGAAGAACATAAATTCTGAACTAGTAATTCTAGCCAAATAAATACACTCAAAGTTGCTACCAGAGATTTTGGCCAGTGCTTCTGCCATTGCTCTTCCTCCACAATTTGGCCTTCTTCAATCAAGCCAGAGAAAATTTTAAGACAAAAAGTTGGACAGTTTTAATTTTTCATCAGTTTGAACCCAGTTACTGCATAGGCAACTGTGCAACATGTGTGCAGAAAATGAGGCATTTTAAAATTTTACTTTCTTGCTTTGTTTTATACAAAGTGCTGTAACTACAGTAAATTTTTCAAGATGTTAAGTAAAAGGAAAGCAAAAACAAAATTATAGAAAAATATTTTTTGCAGCTCTGAGGCTATTTAGATTGTCCTTGTTATTTTAAATACATGGGAACAAAGTGAGAGCCGGGGCTGCTCAGAAGCTGTGGTTGAAGCCCTCTAACAACAATGGAGCATCAGAGCCCTGGCTCTGTGACCTGAGGAACTCTTCATTGTAGCTCTCAAGCTGGGAAACCATGGTGAAACCTGCCCCTGAACGCAGTGGACCAGCCTGCATCCATCCCTGTGATTTCAAAGCACTAATGCATCACCTACATGGGCGTCATCACAATGCAAGTCATACATTACCTACGATCCAAGATGACAAGAACCTCCAGCCATTGTTGGAGACAGACACTAGAACTGAGAATGGAATTTGCCTTCTGGGGTGTTGATCCCATCAGGATGTAACAAAATATATCACAGGCCAAGGGATAAGTGACAAGAAGTGTGTGCGTGTGCGTGTCTGTGTGTGTATTCAAAAATGTCTATGAAAATGGAATCCCACACTTTTCTGTACAGATAATGTTATTTGACGTGAGTTTATAATTTTACCACACAGAAACAAACTGCAACGCTTGGAGACTCTGCTTCCTTGTCATGTTTTGCCTGAGCATGTGCAGAGCCTTGCCTTTGCTCCAAACTGAAGAGCTACATTTATTTGTTATTAGCTGACAAGAAAGGTCAAGCACAAGTAGGTGTTGTAACTTTTCACTGTACAAACTCTTCAATGATTGTGAGACTAAGCGAATATGTCTTTGTGAATGGTAGAATTGGGTGGAAAAAATTAAGAGTAGCCATCAATTAAAGAATAAAGTGAAGGTGGGTTGTCCATCCTAATGAGTTTTCTGTTGCACATGCTTCTTCCCTGGGTTCCACAATGCTAAGCAATATTTTAGAAATGGATGCAATCACAAGCTTTTAAGTCTAAGTAGTGGGATTTTATAACTCACAACTTAGATCTCTTTTCATGTGTAAGCCATATTCTATATGCATATTAGGTATGCATTTTAATTTAAGATATATTTGTGCATAGACTGTGTATAAGATGCTTTTAAATGTTCTGTGAATAAGTTCCTTAGATTTTGTTTCACCTGAAGCATATGTAGAACACAGCTAAATAATTGAATTGTATCATAGACATTATAATGCAATTGATATTTTAAATGTAAGCAGTAAAGATTGATCTATAATGATGTGTTGGGGGAAATTTATAGATACGTACATCATGGTGACTTTTTGTCCTACAATGGATTTCTTATTTCTATTTATGGAGAAACTGCAACTACTGCTTTTAATGTCTTTTTTAAGGTAGCTATTTACAAGCTAGAAAATATTCTGCATTTAAGATTAGAATATGACTGTCAGGGAAGTCTAATTACTATTGTTCCTATTTGAGCCAGGTGTCTCTCAGTAAAGCTATAGAGTCTCTCAACAGAGAAATAAATTGAAACACTGCTTCTTAATTGTCATAAGAAACATGTCCACTTTGTTCCTATTAATACTTTAAGATATATAGACTATTACTAAAAAAATAGAGGAATATAATGAAGTCATTATTTTCTGTATATGGGGTTTAACCTAATTTTCCAGGTTATGTAATTTATAAAGCGCTGTGACGGAACTTCCAGGGGAGTGGAGAAAACTCGCTCCATCCCTTCAGAAGAGTTGTCACGCTATTGATGCACTTTTTTTCCCCTAATCTCCCTCCCTCACTCCCTCTTTTGCTCCTTCCCCTCCCTTCTCTCCTGCTCTCCTTTGTATCTTCCTTATTCCTTCCTTCCTCTCTCTAAGACAGGCACTAACTCATGTTAATTAGCGGGAAGTCAGAGCAGAGGGTACCAGTGCCCATCCCTTCTGCCAACATCAATGTTGAATCCATCCTAAAGAGAGGGATGGATGAATTCGGCTGCTGAGCCTTAAAGGGCCTGCTTTGCATTTGTATCCTCAGCTACTCAACATATATCTAACAATTTCATATGCCTCTTTACTTAGCTTGTATCTCTTTTATTTAATTTTTAACATGACAAGCTACAATTCTTGTGTTTTTATTCTGCTGTAATTCTCTGTATTTCCTATTGTATATGATTGTTAAATAAATCATACTTGAGGGAAAATATCATGAACCATTTGGTGCCTGATGTAATTCAATTTGGTGGGGCATTGAAAAGTTGGCAAAATCAGGGAAAGCCAGAAGTACACCATCTTGAAAGTTGATATGAGTTCAATCAGAAAGTGATTTTTGCTCTATGAAAGAAATGTTCACTGAGACAATTTATTATTGCACCTATTATTTGCATACTCCTGGCTAGATGCATGGCACATATAGGATTGTGGAAACCTGAATCTTTCCTCTAGAAATTTCCTATTTTATAAAGGAGATAATCTATACACATGAATAACTAAAATGCCACATGTGAAAGTAACCACGTGCAAGTAAAATGCACCTCCGGGTATTAAAGGAGGTAAAACCTGCCTCCATCTTCAAGGCTTCCAAGAAGACTTCTTGGAATGGATGGCACATGAGTTGATGTTTCAGTAACAAATAATAAACAAAAGCTCATATTCTTTGCCTATTTTCTATGTACAGGCTCCAGGTAAACACTTAACAAATATTATCCCTAATCCTCAATAATCCAGCAAAGTGGGTATCAATATGAGTAAGGAAACGAAGTCTCAGAGAAAGAGCCTTGTCTAAAGCCATGTGGGTCTCAAGCAGCAGATTCCAGACTGGAATTGGTCCTAGAACGCTGACACCAAAGACCTCTTTTTCTTTCTACTACATCTGTGTAGGATGGGACAGAAGCACAGTGGAAAGGACAGCTCTGTGAAGAAGGACAATGTGAATAAGGTAATACCAGAGAATAATACAGAAGCAAAGAGTGTCAAGTCAAGGTGAAGACCTAGAGAGTTTTAATTGACTGAATTAAGAGTAATCGGCACAATGTGTGTCACCTCTCAGGCTGTGTCTCTGTGATGCTAAAGCATCTGATGAAAATGTAAAAATTTATCTAGTCAGCAGATACATGACACTTAACTGAACTTTTTACTTTAAATGTGATTCCATGATAAGTTCTCACCTAATATCAAAAAGCTTTCAAAAGCCACATTTTAATTTTGAAAATAATTTAATTTTGTTTAATGTAGATATAAAACACATATTTCCTTTGGAAGCTACATTAAGCCTTGTATCTTCTGTTTAATTGCTTCCCTAAATATCACAAAGTTTATCCATCCTTTAGTACAAGCCTTAAACTACAGTGAAAACATACATTTTAGAGTCAAAAAACAAACACCTAATGATGTCCCACGTTACATACATGCAATTTCTTTGGAGGGAATTCCAAATACTTAAGATACAAATCCCATGTATGGACCAACATGTATATTTAAAGCTCTTTTGGGGGCTATTTGTCCCTTAGTAACGTTAATAAATGTCTAGGTTATTTCCTTACCAGTTGTGATGGTTGGAGAGCTTCCTTTGCATCTCAAGCTGATACCTTTTTATCTCTGATAATTAAAGATTCAATTATTTAGTTCTTTTTACAGTCTTACTACTGCATTACATTATTTGCTGACATTATCTCTTTTACTCCCTGTAACTAACTGCTCTTTGAGGATTTGTTATCCCCATCTATGGATGAGAAACCATGGCAGAAGAAGGTAACTAATTTGTGTAAGATCGCACAGCTATTAAGTTGAGGACCCTGGATTCGAAGTTGGAGTGTGGCTCCCCAAACCACTAGATAGACTGTCCCTGGCCACTATGGGAGGATCGGTCCTGTCTTCTCCACCCACTGTATCCATTATCTTCCTTTTCTAACCTTTATTCCATCCTACGCTTTATTCTCTATCCAGGCACTTGTCCCTAAAAACTACCACTCTGAGAGGACAGAATTTCCAGTGACCAACTGCAGGGGCAGGTGTGCTTTGGTAACCAATTAAATCATGTATTACGACAGAAAAGGTGCCTTTGATTTCTGTGGATGGAGGAATTATTTCCCATGCTTAATATGTGACCTTAAAAGTTTGCTTTTCAAATAACCACTGGTGTTCAGTCTAGAACTTTGCTACTGAAAGTGTGGTCCCTACTTGGGAACGTCTTAGAAATGAAGAATCTCAGGCCCCATCCAGAATTTTGAACTGGAGTTGGCCTTTTAAGAAGATAACTGGTTGATATTTATACATATCTCTGTTCTATGCAATAATTAAATATTATGGAGATAATCTGAAACACCCACTAAGCACTTAGAGATTAGGTTTTTTCCTCTACACTAGACAAGAGCTCCAGAGTTCATGCTCTCAACACTGTCCTACTCCCTCAAAACTAAACCAAACCAAACCCCAAGAAATTGCTGAACTGGACACAGTCTATGATTTCTCCAGTTGTTGAGAACCTTGCTATGGCATAGCACTTGGGTCAACTGAAAGTTAAGTTATATTGTTTCTATAAGTATTAAAGACCCATTTCCTTTTTTCTGCTCAAACAGCATTGCATGGTTTAGATCTTTACGATCTCACTTGTGTTCCACATTTGGCTTCTCTGCTTCTAGCTCTTTTCAATTTTTCTTTTCTGCATACTGTTATTATATTAAATGTCCTTAATTCATCTTTGGACCTATCACTCTTCTTCTCAAAAACAGTTTCTCCCTGTCTACAGCAGGGGTCAGTAAACCTTTTCTATAAAGAATCAGGAAGTAGATACTTTAGGTTTTGCAGGCCACATTCCATCACACTCTCTCCTCTCCTTTTCGTCCACCTCCTTCTTCCTCTTCATTTTCTTCTTCTTTCTTCTCTTCCTTTTCTTTTTTTCTACAACTCTTTAAAAATGTAAAAGCCAAACATAAAAACTATGTAAAAGCCATTCTTAACTTGGGGGACGGGAGTGGCACACAAAAACAGGCCATCTGGCAGATTTGGCCCCTGGGCCGACACCTGCTTCCTTTTCAGATCAAGGAGTTTGTACCCTAGCATGAAAGAGAGAGGTTGCTAGTGTAAGTGGCTGTCATCGCTAGGAGCTCTAGCTTCCCCAGGGCCTGTGTAGCTACCCTGAGGATAAGGGAGATGATGACTTCCAGTACCCCTGTCCCCCATTCACGGCCCACAGAGCAGTTTAGCAAGGCTGACTACAGCACTGGTTCTCAACCTGTAGCAGGCATCAACATCATTTGGAGGGTCTGTTAAACTGCAGGTGCTAAGCCCCACCTCTCAGAGATTCTGATGCGATAAGTCCGGGGTAGAGCCTGAAGCGATGCTGATGCTATTGGACTGCAGATCTCACTTTGAGAACCACAGGCCTACATGTGAGTAAGGTTTAAACCCTTTAGCATAATACTCAAAGCCCTTCACAGTCTAACCCCAGCTATATTTTTTGCCATAGCTTTCGCTACACCACTCACTACTCCTGGATCTCTGCCATGCCTCTGCACAGGACGCCTCCTCTGCGTGGATCTTGCGGCTCCCTTTGCCATCTTTACCTGTCACTGTCCCCCCTTCCTCCAAGGACCTGAGCACATGCCAGCTCTCCCAGAAAGCCTCTTCACATCACTCTGGTCAGAACTCTCAGATCCTCTTTTCTGGACGAACACATCTCATACCCCTCCATGCTGGAACCTTGCAGCTCCCCATGTCATATGTTTGCTGCCAGATTTTAAGGTAAAGAAGCACTTAGCTTTACACATAGTAGGTATTCAGTAAATATTTGTTGAATAAATGAATATGAATAAATAACTGAAGGCAGGAAGGAAAAGCTTATTCTTGTTTGTCCTAAATGTTTGATATATGATTGAGTTAATCCTTTCAGAGAACATCTCTAGTTAATTCAATCAAAATGAGACTCACTTTTCAAGCACTTCAGGTCTACATAATTCCAAGAAACCGTTTATGTTTTTTCTCAGAGCAGACAAATGGGGAGTGCATCAATTCTTAATTAATTCTTAATAGCATGCTAAAAGCAAACCTGAATTATACGAGAAAAACATTGTCTCCCCAGGTGTCTCATGTCTACCCTTGGGAGGTGGGTCTGCTGGAGCAGAGATATATTAACTGTAACTAATCTTACCTTACCAACTTTGCTAAGGAGAAAAGCTCACATTTCCTGGTTGATTTCCTATAGCCTTGATGATTAATAGTGGGGACCATACAAGCTTTGGAGCAACAGTGACCTCAATTGTCCTTGGTAGTTGGTAGTTGTTAAGCTTAACCTAACCTCTCACCACAAAGACTGATAGAGTGATAAAATAATAATGAAGAATATTTAAAGGATCTAGACAGTACTTGACACATTGTTGGTTCTCAGTTAACATAAGTTCACAATATTATTTTATATTTATATTTTATATTTATCCAGATGCTGTTATTTCTCGTTGAGTTCTTCTGTGGAAGACCTGAGGCAAGAAATATCTCACCCGAGGACTGAATTTGGCCCTTAGTTCAGTTTCAGACTTTGTCGGTAATGGTTTCTGTGATCTTGGACAAGCCTCAATTTTCTCACCTATGAAATGGAGATAGTAAGAGTACCTATTTTATAGGATTATTAGAATGATTAAATGAAATGGCCCATGTAAGGTGCTGAGACTATTGACTGACACATTGAAAAAACTGAAATAGTATGAACTATAAAAATAAGAATCTACCAGGAGCTCCACCTGCTTCCTTTAAAATTAACTCATGCTTATAGTTGCACGGTTTTGACTTCGGTAGCAATATCCTAGAAGTCCACGTAATGGGGAGGTTGTTCCATGTAAAGAGTAGTCCAGTTGTTTTATAACAGAGATCATATCATTGACTTCAGCATTTATGTCCTTGCTTTAGAAAGACAAAACTACATATAGATATAGATATATTGAAATACATGTCAATATATATGATATATATAGAGAGACAGATAGCTATATTGATATATATCATATAGACATTCGATTTTAGGGAAATTTTTAAAATGCAAATATTAAAAAGAAAAATATTAGCATAAAGATAAAATAACAATAACTTCTAGACTTCCTGGATGACATGTTAAAACGCATGATTAGACCATCCAGGTGCACTTAGAAGCAACAATAGCAGTTTCTCAAAAAAATAAATAAAACAACAACAACAAAAAGTGCAGGCACACA